TTGCACAAATGTGCAACAGTTCAAGTCGCCACACCTCATATAGCACACAAAGCAAGAGAAGAAGGTAGAAGAAATGCACGATAGAGACAGTAAACAGAGGTGTGAGACAAAGGAATAGTGATAACGAAGAACAAAACAGTTTCATTGGAGATCATAAGTCACAAGGAGTGGATGCATCTGCGTTAGCCACTGAGAACGATTTTGAGCCATGTCACCAGTTGTTTCCAACCATTGGTTTTTACCGTCCCGAGGACCCCAACCAGTCAGGTAGTCTACACCTTCCTACGTGGCTCAGACTAACTGTTGTAGATTTCATTGAGTGGTGCCAAGTTTTTGTTTGACCGCCGCTAGCTTTTTTCCAGCCTGACCCTATATCCGCTAACATTGCTCGTCGAGGAAGGCGATGACTAGGCTAGGAATGCGTAACACATGTAATAACCATCTCAACCGATGTAATTTCACAGTCTCGTTGATTGATTTCCACTTCTTACCTAGAACTCGACGCCTAACCTCATTATTGCTCACCTTATTATGCCACTTCACACGGGAAATAGAACGCAGGCACCTATGATCAAAGACAGCTAGTCTTTTCATGTCTTCCACTCTCAGTGGCCAGGTCTCACAGCTGGCCATAAAGGAGGACGGAGTGGACTGATGAGCAGTACACCCGCCCTTTGGTCGATAGTCGAACATCTCGTCTACGCCAGAGTCGGCGTAAACTGGCAAATGCGAAACGAGCCCCCTGTATTCGTGCTGAGATTTCGTAAGAGATCAACCCGCTGGCACTGGCTGATGGTACTTCCCAAATAAGTGAAGCGGTCAACGTGCTCTACCACTTCACTTCCTATTGTTAAACTAGGCGTCGATGTGGTCCAGTCCTGTAACATCATCTTGCATTTGGCGGGAGCGAATCGCATGCCAAACATTCGTAGGTTGCAGCTCAAGGTGTTTAGAAGACTGCATTTTGTCAGAGTCGTCGCCTAGGGGGACTATATCGTCTGCATATTCTAAGTCAACGAGATTATTCCCTGGTAGCAAGTCAAGGGGAGATTATGCGCAATCGTGGACCCAGATGAAGAGGACAGCAGAGAAAAGAAGTGGAGATGTGTTGTTGAAACCCTATGTTCCACTTGGAACCTAAGGTGATAATAATAATAATAATAATAATAATATACAATAATATATAACTAAAAATTACTGACGAATAAGATATAGTATGCACTTTATACCATCACATGACAATTATCAAATGAACATGTATCGATTTGTATGTAATGTTATCGCCTTTGTCCAAAATTAAGACCAAATATACCCACCTATTCAAAAACAAGAAAAATAAATACTGATTTAACAACGGCATACTTTTTGTAATGACTTATTCTCCAACTAACTGACCAAGTTTAGACACAGAACTTTGTGCAAACATACAACAGTTCAGATTGCGAAACTCCATATGGTACAAAAAGATAGAGGAAGCAGAAACAAAAGAGATTCAAAAAACTATAACGTGCAAAAATTTGAGGGAGAAAGAATAGTAACACAAAAACATGAGCTTTTAGTGAATATGGGAGTAAATAGAATGAATGCATTTATGCCATTGATAATCATTTTTAAACATATCACCAATAGTCTTCGGCCATTGATTCTGAGTATCCTGAAAATCCCCACCACGCACTATACAACTCCCTTCGTGGCTCAAACCGTCAAGGATTTCAGGAACTGTGCCTAAGTTTTGGTTTGACCACTTCTAACTCTTTTTCAACCTAATCCTATGTTGGCTAACATTGCCTACAGAGGAAGGAGATGGCTCAGAATACGTAATATGCACCCTCGCCATCTCAACCGACTCACTTTCACAACTTCATCGATTGCCTTAACCTCCTTACTTACACCTAAATATTGCTCACCATAATGTACCACTTAACGCGTGGGACAGAATTCAAATATCTGGTCAGAGACAACCATACTTTTCATGTGAAGTGGTAGAGCGCGTTGACCGCTTCACTTATTTGGGAAGTACCATCAGCCAGTGCCAGCGGGTTGATCTCTTACGAAATCTCAGCACGAATACAGGGGGCTCATTTCGCATTTGCCAGTTTACGCCGACTCTGGCGTAGACGAGATGTTCGACTATCGACCAAAGGGCGGGTGTACTGCTCATCAGTCCACTCCGTCCTCCTTTATGGCCAGCTGTGAGACCTGGCCACTGAGAGTGGAAGACATGAAAAGACTAGCTGTCTTTGATCATAGGTGCCTGCGTTCTATTTCCCGTGTGAAGTGGCATAATAAGGTGAGCAATAATGAGGTTAGGCGTAGAGTTCTAGGTAAACAGGGGAAATCAATCGACGAAGTCGTGAAGCTACAAAGACTGAGATGGTTATTACATGTGTTACGCATTCCTAGCCTAGTCATCGCCTTCCTCGAGGAGCAATGTTAGCGGATATAGGGTCAGGCTGGAAAAAAGCTAGCGGCGGTCAAACGAAAACTTGGCACCACTCAATGAAATCTACAACAGTTAGTCTGAGCCACGTAGGAAGGTGTAGACTACCTGACTGGTTGGGGTCCTCGGGACGGTAAAAACCAATGGTTGGAAACAACTGGTGACATGGCTCAAAATCGTTCTCAGTGGCTAACGCAGATGCATCCACTCCTTGTGACTTATGATCTCCAATGAAACTGTTTTGTTCTTCGTTATCACTATTCCTTTGTCTCACACCTCTGTTTACTGTCTCTATCGTGCATTTCTTCTACCTTCTTCTCTTGCTTTGTGTGCTATATGAGGTGTGGCGACTTGAACTGTTGCACATTTGTGCAAAGTTCTATGACGAAAACAGACAGACAGATACTTTTCATGTCTTCCACTTTCAACGGCCATGTCTTACAACCATGAAAGAGGATAGAACAAACTACTGAGCAATACAGACGTTCTCTGATCAGCAGCTGTATATTAAACCTTCGCCAGAGATGACAAGGTGGTAAATGCTATTCGCAAACTGAACAGTCATATTTATATTACTTAAAAAAAACAGCTAGCCATAATTAAACTGTTCAGGAAATAAATATGATCAAAATTAACATGATTATTAGGGGATACGGTTGCAGCGGATAAAATAAAGAAGGCGTTATTAGCAGTTATAAGAGAAATAACATTATTGTCTAGAAAGTAGAATTACGATGATAATAAACACAATGATGAAGAAGACAAGGTGAAATATGAACAAAATATTCCCATATTGAGTCATAAGAAAAAAAGGTACAAACAGAAAATTTTCTTCGCTGTTTGTGCCTTTTTCTTATGACAAGGTGAAATGTAATGAAATCAACTGGTCTTGAAATTATTAAGACCAAAACAAAGGAATGGGTTCTAAAATATTTTTCCGAACTAAGTCTGGTTTTCTGTTAATGTATAGCTGCTAGTGTCTTAGCTAAATATAAGTGATGACAGCTCAGACCTTTGAAATGATTGAATTTAGCCCTGCACATAGCTTTAAAAAATAAACTCCTAGGAGATAAATGACTTGACTCCACACGATCTTTGCAGATATAGATTTAATCATTTTATATTCACCGTTTACTAATTATGAAGGATAATGTTCAGTCAAGTATTTCTGGGCTACTCGCTTAAAATAATCAGTGTAGTCAGCTACACAGAAATATAAAATGGTAGATCCGCATACACTTGGACATTAGCTGTGATATAAGCTTTTGATTTAGTTATGTTCTCTGAGCTGGTTGATTCAGCTGCGAAGCTACAAATCTCTATTATTTACAATATAGGCTTCGTCGAACTATCCTCCAGGAATAGTATACCAGAAGTGAGTAAGCGGTATATAAAGTACATCTGATGATCTTAGAAACTATCTGAGAACGACATCTCTTTTCAGTCCCAAATTTGAACTGTTTGCTTTTGAGAGTACTATGATTCTCTCGATAAAACTTCGAGGGGATCCATTATTTTTGTGTTGTAAGAAGGTTTCTGAATTCTTCGCCAATTATATCCTTAGAGTAAGATCTTCAAATTTCCAGAGCAAAGAGAACAGATGGAGTTTCTATAGAGTAATTAAATGTGCCCAATCATTTAACTTAGTGAAATGTACTACAGAAATAAAAAGCATGGAAATTCAACTCCTCTACGATCCCGAAAATTATAGACAGGTGATCACTGAGATGTTTAACAGTTTTCTTAGTACATAATAAGGGTGTTATCCATATATCTTTTAAATAAATAAAGAGCCGGATTACATCTTTCGGTTGACTACTCTCTAGACTCACTGTGAAGATATAACCCAAAACACGTCCTAATGTATGCTCTACAGTAACTCCACCTAAATGATTAGAATTCACATTAAACGCTAGCGGTATAAGACAAGTTACTAAGCCAGCCATTCAAAAAACATAGGAATACAAGTGAACCATTAACTAAACACTTTACTAACAAATTTATGCGCCTAATCGACCTAAGATGCAACAGTTATTGTGGGTATTTCTCTTGTCATTAGAACAGTGTTATACAAACCACCAAGTTCACGTACACATACACTGCACGACGACTGATACTCAAATCTTGGTAGGTGGCATAAAATCCGAACTACAAATCCATATGTCTAAAATCAATATACCAAATTACTGAGGCACAACTCACCATCACTGAAGGTATATGCAATGGAGCACTAAGACAGGCATAGAAGGTGATGATAACACTATTATTCCAATTGAGTATTGCTTATAATTCCATCCCGTTAAATACTCATTCGCATATATTCTCCGTATACAGAAATGCTTACCGCTTGTGACTAAGAGTTTAGATGTTTAACGAAAAATATTATTAAATCATATTTCATTATTTTATTTTGAAAATTTAGAAGTCAAAAAAATAGCATAATTAAATACGATGTCACTCAGATACACAACAATATGGAGAATTCATGATAGCCTATAAAACGGTTACTCAGAAGTCATGAGGTTGGAAATGAAAGACTTGAGTGATTTTTGAGGAGACAATATCATATATATATATATATATATATATATATAGAGAGAGAGAGAGAGAGAGAGGGAGAGAGAGGGAGAGAGAGAGAGACGGGGTAGGGAGAGAAAGATGCTTAGGACAATCACATTAGTGCTTCATTTAATTTTCGATCCTCTGTCAAATATTTGAGAATCCCACTATAAATTCGTTATTCGACTACCTACAGAAGAGAAAAAACAAAACGATTTTTGATAAGTGTAGATATAAAAAGCAGTCTCATCAATTCTATATTTACTAAAAGTGTTGACGACAGTAATTTGTACTGATCAGCTTGTGCATACGGTGACAAACAAAAAAAACATTTAGAAAACAGAAAGATTGAGCGAAGAAATATTTACTTTTCGATTAGCTCCTCATCTTTGGCTCTACTCTAATATATATAGCATTTTAATTACAATACAATCTTTCTGTTTTCTAAATGTCTAAATGGGGATTTTTTCTTTATTGAAAAAAAAACATGACATTGGGCTCCGACAGTAACTTCATCCTCACCGAGACTAGGGTGAATCATATCAGTATATTCACACAGCTTCATATTATTATTGTTCCCATGGGTTCCTAGTGCAACATAGGGCTTCACAACTGCACGTCTCCACTTGCTTCTGTCTTCCTTCTGCTGTACTTATCACCTCCATCCATGTTAGTCCATACTCTTTCAACTCCTCTTCACTTCACACGATCTCCTCCATGTTACCCCTTACACTGACGTCCCACTCGCCACTTCTCTTTCGGCTTGGTTCCACCCGAGGAATGGTCTGACGCGCGCGCGATGTCACCAACCAGCCTTCTCAGCCACGAGTGTCCAATCCATCTCCACTTTCTCCTGCATATTTGATGTTGTTGGGCGATTGGTTCTTGTTTTGTTTCTTCCCATAGTTTCTTGTTGGTGATTCTTTCCGCCCGGCCATCTGATCTCCAGTATAGAGCCAGCGAAGACAGTTGTTGATAAAGGTCTGGTCTGCAACAGCCTATTGGAAATATTCTTTGTGACCCGCCTGCCAAGTTTCTGATCTGTATAGAACAGCTGACTGACTTGACGTTTGTATTGAAAATCCGAGCGAATTTTGTTGCTGATCCTGACTGAGTGACGGAGATTTCCAGATTGGTTTCAGGTTGATGAATGTGTTTCTCGCCTTCATAATTTGCTCTATATATTTTTCCATTTCCCCTGGTTGTTCATTGTAATTGTCCATGTATTCAGTATAAGCGTTGCGTCATCTCTATTGCACGTGCTTGATGTTGTTTCTATGATCGAACATTCAGGGATTAACCTTGCTACACACCTCTAAATATATTACTTTTGAATACTTTGATTACATTCAAGTGAATGTGTAGCAATGACCAAGGCTTTTCCTAAATTATTTAACTTAGCATGGGGTCAAGGATGCTACGTGTTAGCTAAATTCCTACGTTCCAATAATCTAATTGGCCCCGATCTACTAGTTCGACCCTTGTAATTGACGTCTCGCAGTCACTACATAGTATCTGTTTAGTTATATTATTTTCGTTATGAGATAGAGTGTCTCCAAGTGAGTTGGTTGGTTAAAATGCCACTTTAATTTCATCGGCATTAGGAATCCTACGTAGAACTTCTGATGTTCTTTCTTGATATGCTAGTATTATTGAAGCTTTAAATCCCTTATTATTTGTATTATTTTTATTATTATATTTATTACTACTTTTATTCTGCTTATGGATCTTCATACATTTCTGAATGAATTCTGGTGGGTGGTTATTCACCGGTAATATTTCCTTTATTTGTTCGATTTCAGGATTTAAATGTTCTGAATTACTAGTTAGGCTGTTGACCTGATTATACAAACACTTGGCTACACCTACCACTACCGAATTTGGGTGAGGTGAATTAAAGTCGAAGTACCTATTAGAATTTGCCGGTTTCTTATAAGTACCCACCATCTTGTTTCCGTTCTATATTACAGTCTAGTATGGTCAATTTGCCTTGTTCATTTTCTAAATCAGAAGTGAATTGGATTCCGCCTACTATCTAGTGTAATGAACTTAGGGATGTATTCAAACTGTAACACAGTAAATGTTTCGTCCACATATCTCTATCATAACCTAGATGCAGCAAAAATAACCGAACGCCTGAGAGCATTCGATCTGAAGAAAGAGAGATCAGACACCTCGCAGAGCCTATTAAAATATCTAACCAGAAATCACTTTAACACGTGATCACAGAACTGTTATACAATGATAACAATAAATCTGAAAGTGTTGTGAATTAGTCAAGATTGTTATATCTCAGGTCACTTGGCGTGAAAGTAAGGAAATGAAACTGACGGTAAAGGTGTCAGTAGGCCTGCTGAGAAAACATCTATGACTAAGTGCTCAGTCACAGAGATCATCAAATAATTTCCAAGCTCAACTGAAGGTAAAAATCTTCCTTATTGTATTTCATTTCTGCTTACCACTTGGTCACGAGACACACTTCATGCATGTACTAAACGAACTCCTAATCTACAACTTTTAGTTTTGTACACTTATAATCCCCACAGTCACAAATTAGATCAGAGTGAATAGCTGTGCAGCACATTATCTATTAAATGTAGCTTTGTATTACCTACAAAGACGTAAACCATCATGGAAATAAATCTATTTGAAAAAGAGATGCATTTTCTTACCGATCATTTAGAGCAACACCACTGGTAATCATACCATGAGAAGCCAAATCATTTTCAAGTTCCATTAATTCTGCACGAAGGACCTCGAAAGATGGATTAAAAGTATGTCTCTGCCTAGTAAGAAAAATAAGAAAAGAAAAATTCTACTGTAAGCTGCTGAAAATTAGTTCTGACCAAAACGATGTCATGATGTAGCGGTGTTTTTATTCATAAAAAAAAGAATTTCTCTTCCATTGCAGTTGTATGAATCTATACTGGAAAAATCAAATTATTGTTGACATACATGCTGGACAGATACACCTTTCCAAGTATTGGTTTTGTAGGGATTTTGTTTGATTGAATGGAAGATTTCATCATGAGTTAACATCAGTTAGAGAACCACTGGGAAACCTGAAAGGACTACTGGGCAGCTGTTTCGTCTTAGTTTGGGACTCTTCATCAGTACGCACCCACCACAGGGGTTCCAACCCAGGACCTTCTGGTTACAAGGCGAGATCGTAGACCATTGAGCCACTAGGACCCTATCCAGTGGTCCTTGAATTCCAACTTCTGCCAATTCACGATGTAGCGAGACCATTTCGCAATGTCTTCTTCGATGAGTTAGAGTAGGTTGAAGATGAGGCAATAACTCATCCAAGAAGACATTACGAAATGGTCGCGCTATATCGTGAATTGGCAGAAGTTAGAATTTAAGGACCGTTGGATCGGGTCCCTTAAACACTATTTTAGACACAGATAGGAGTCTAAACAAATCATGTACTTTTTCAGTCAAACCTTAGTGAGTGAAAGCAAGGATGAAAACCAATGACCGGCACCGCTTCGAATTCGAATACAATCGCTCAACAAGATAGTGTATGTTTTACTGCGGTTCGCAATCCAATTGAGGAGTGTACCTTTTACTCCCACCAAAGATAACATAAATCTTTTGTAAATCTATAAATATTTAACGGATTAGCATTCCTTGGACTACCTAGATGACATCGATACAATAACGACAATTGATTTTTCTACATGTTTAAGTTAATGAAACTAGCGACCTTATTCAAAGAAAAGTACTAAGTGCTGAGTTTTAATACTCAGTTAGAAATGAAGAAACTAAAGATGTTACTTCACAATAATAACACTAACATTGGTAATAATACAATTGCAGAAGTCGGGAATAATGCATCCCCAGTTCCCGGCCTAATGAGTACATGTTAACGTGTTCAGTTTATAATCTAATTACTCTTGGTTAAATTCCTCACTATGTTGTGTATGAGTGTGTTCATACAGCTGAACTGAATTCCTAAACAAAGACAAAATGGGTTTACAATGGGTATACTCCCAGGATTCTAATGGCTTTTTAATAAAATGTGTTTCCGAATTTGTCGAGTCTTTACTAACGCAACACTTCACTACCGAAACATTGATAGCAGTTGGAACTAAAAGCTAGCTTTGAGTTGTGAGTCACTAAATATACCTGTGTTTGATTGAAGTTACTAGCTTACAAATTTTCGCCTTGCCAATCGCTTCTACAGAGCTAAACGTCGTTGACTTCTGATAAACATTAATTTGTCCCAAACTAACTACAACCATGTGCGTACCGATACACTTGGTAATGGGCCACACTTATGATGCGTCGGTGGCACAGTGGTTAGGACTCTCGCCGACCATGCACATGGTCCGAGGTTCGATCCCCTGCCAACGCACACCTGATTCCTATGGTCGGCCTGCAAAATTTGGGTTACCGATATCCATGCTGAAAATTCCATACTTGTACCAATAATACAGTGTGGAATCAAGCTGTAATAAAAAATAAAAAATAGAGTCTGTCTGTCTGGATTCAACACAGAACTTGGCACCGAAGTGCAGCAGTTCGAGTTGCCACCTTCCAAATAGCACACAGAGGTAGACAAGAAGATGAGTGAAGAGAATCAATAGAGTTTGACAAATATAAGAGTGAAACAGAATGGGTAATGGTAGAAAGGAATATGAAAGAAAGAAATAAAGTAAAATTTAAGAGCTGATGATACCACCTGGTCGTCAAAATCTCAGTGAGTGGAGTGAGACTCGAGCCACAAGCACACTGGCTTGATGAGCCACTGATCGATGTCTTGTACGAGAAACATTAGAAATTCATTTACTCTGCATAAGAAAAATAATAAGCAATACATATTAAGTTTAGTATGAAAATAGCTTACTTTTTCTGGAAGAGTATATCAAAGTCACCGTTGACTGACTCCTTCAGACTGTCCACATCAATTCCTAAAGCAGCTAGTGAAATAGCAGCTTGATTGACAACTTTAGGTGCACCATGTGACTGCATTCGAGTAAATAAACTAAATTTACTCAAATGAGCACGTATTCCACTTTTCAAACGATTCAATTCTTCTTGTAACATAGCTTTCTCATCCATAACGTCCTGAAGTGATTGAGCTAATGTTGACAAGTGATCGCTAGTTATCTACAAGTTATGAAAGAAATAAACTGTCGTCAACTTCGAAAAGTACACCATTTTTTGTCGAAAAATCATTAACCAAATTATGTTATAAATTCAATAAAACGAAATAAATGTACCGTGTATTGTAGTATTAACCAATCGATGATTTATCTGTTAACTTTCTTCAATTATCTACATACTATAAACTGTTTTGTTCTTCGTTATTACTCCTTTGTCTCACCCTTCTGCTCACTGTCTCTATTATGCTTTTCTTGTACTTTCCTCTCTTGCTTCGCGTGCTACACGGAGTGTGGCGACTTGAACTTCCGCACATTTGTGCAAAGTTCTATGTCGAAAACAGACAGACAGACATACTATAAATAGCTAACCAATAGAACATGTTTATTTTTTCTTAACACAGATTTTGTTGCAATGAGATTACACACACACAAGCCTATTCAAATAACAATCGAAATGATGATGACTTTAAAAGTAAACTAAACTAAACGTAATCAAACGAAAAACATAATTGTTTACATGCCGGAGTTTACTACACAGAAAGCCATAAAGTAAGGTGTTTTATACATACCAACTACTATTTTAAAGATAGGGAGTAAAACGGTTGATTGTGTTGAGCACCACTTATTTGAAAAGCCGCATCAGGCTATTTGTATTTAATCATAGGTGCCTGCGTTCTATCTTCCATGTTAAGTGGTATAATAAGGTGAGCAATATTGAGGTTAGGCGTTGAGTGCAAGGTAAGGAGGGGAAATCAATTGGCGAGGCTGTGAAGTTACATCGGTTGAGATGGTTATTACATGTGTTACGCACGCCTAGTTTAGCCATCGCCTTCCTCGACGGATATTGATTGCTGACATAGGATGGATCAGGTTGGAAAGGAGATAGTGATGGTCAAGCCAAAACATGGCATCAGCCAATGAAATCCACAACGGTTAGTTTAAGCCACGTAGAGAGATGTAAACTTCCTGGTTGGGGTCCTCAGGATGGTAAAAACCAGTGGCTGGAGACAGTCGGTGATATGGCTTAAAATCGTTCTCAGTGGCGCAGATACATCCACTCTTTGTGATCTATCCTATCCAATAAAACTCTATAGTTCTTCCAAGTTACTATTCTTTTACCCTCACTCACACTTCTATTTAATACCTCTCTTTACTCTCTTCTCTTGCTTTGTGAGCTACATGGAGTGTGGCAACTAGAACTGCTCTGCACATCTGTGCAAAGTTCTACGTTAAAACCAGTCAGTCAGTCTGATAAATTAAGTAATAACGAAATATCAGCACGGATACAAAAGGCCCATGAAGCATCCGACGACTTAGGTCATCTTCAGTGTAGAAAAAATATCCGGTTGTCAATAAGAGAACTTGTATACTACGCAGCAGTTTTCTTCTTTCTTTTTTATGCTTCTGAGATGTAGCCACTGAAACTGGAAGACCTGAAGAAGCCAGCTGTATCTTAACAACATGTTTGTGTTCTGCCCGTCACTTTAGACGTTAAAATATGGTGAGTATTATTGAGGTTAGGCATCAAGCATTACGTAAGGAGGGAAAATCAATCGATGAGGCTGTTGATTTACATCGATTGAAATAGCTGAGACACATTTCATCGCTTCCCTCGCTGGGCAATGTTAGCTGACATAGGAATAAATTGCGAAAGAGTTAGCAGTAGTCAAAGTAAAACATGACATCAACCTGTGAATTCTTTGACTGTCGGTTTGAGGCATATAGGGAGGTGAAGACTGTGTGTGTCTGGTGCCATTTAAACGCTAAGAACCGACGGTCAAGAACTCGGATTACCGTACTTTTGTGCAAAGTTCTACACTGATAACCCATTCATATGCACCAACTGGTTCATAAATATCCCTTATGAAGTTAAAATGTATGAGTGGTGGCAGAGAACTGAGTATGATGAAGATGTGGCACTGAAGCCCCATGTTCTACTCGTAAGGCAAGGTGTGAGAAATATAATACTTCGTTCTCTATCTTGTCTTTTAAGCAAACTCCTTCTTGTTAGGTATTTACAGTGCAGAGCAATAAAAACGTTTTTAGAACGCTAGTTAACAAAATTAAAGTCTATGTATGAGGGTACTTAATAATCTATAAAATCTAAAAAAATGCACTAAAGACTACCATATTGTCTTATGTGCTTTCAAGTTTATATAGACATTGGATTAGTTTTCCAGGGCGGGATCGCTCGTCTCAAGCTCAGCCTTCCTTTTTTCTCTGAACTTAAGACCTACTAGGAAATTAGGTGATATTTATCAAATGAGTTTGTCATTTAATAAACATACAAACAGAAATCTGAAATGTGTTTTGTAAAATAGACTAATAAATCTTCTTTTATTCACCAACTTCACTATATTTAATCTCAGATCAAAATGCTCGTGTAACGGCACAATCCATAAATTTCAAATTGTTTGGAGACCATCTTTAAGTTTTTGGTTAGAGTTCTTGTAAGTGATCACAATGAATAATAAAAATACTAATTCGAATAAAATAATAAGTCTCTTCATATTACACATGAACACATGGAAAAGGCACCAGCTCTACAACACGTAATAAACCAGAAGTCTGAATAGCTTACTAACAGACAACTCCACTTAAGAATGCGTCTTCGAATCTCTAAAGGCATTTTCATTGTGTGAAGCTTTCAATTATACCTTGTTTATATTAATACCTACAACCTTGGTTCTATTACAGGTTTGAGGGAAACTTCGCATTCAAGACAAAAATGTACAAGTTATTTTTCATAAAACCACCATATAACAAGTGTATCATAACGTCGAAAATAGAATACAACATACCTTAATAATAGTTTTCATTGATTTAATTTCAGTTTCGTAGAGTGATTGTTTTTCATCTTCACGTGCAAGTAATGCGGTATTTTCCTCTTTTAATGATGTAACTTCCTGACGCAGATTACCCACTAATTTTTGAGCCTCAATAAGTTCCGCTTTGATAGTATCAAGTTCTAGTAAAGTTTGATTGTGAACCTTTGTTACTTCTTCATGAGCCAACATTTCACGTTTAGCTATAGCCGATTGAACCTCTGCTTCCTTTTGGGAAGTTGTCATATTGTTGACGGCTTCAGCCAAATTCTGTCTTAAAATTGAAGTCAGCTCAGAAAGATAATCCCGCTCACTTTCCAAACTTTTCAAATCATCATAACTAGGCATTAAAGGTACACTAGATGCATTGCATTGTTGCACTGAAGATCGTGTTGTAATATCAGACTGCGAAGCACTGTACACCCCTGAGTCATTAGGCGCCTCAGAAATAGAGGGAGACTGATAAAAACTTTGATCATCACTGTGCTGGAGAATGACAGTTTTGGAATATAACTCCTCATTCTCACATGGCCTAGGGTCAAACCCTGAATTATTGCCAACATAAGTTCTATTAGAACTTTCAAAAGACGAATAACTGCACTTTGTTATTTCGCAAACTTCTGAGGTGGGTGAAAAATAATGCGACTCGAATTCTTTATTGTGATCCACATCTAACTGATCGTTTTGTTTATCATGCATAAAATATTCAGCCAAACTAACGCTTATCTTTTTCTCTGCAACTGTATGCGCACTGTCTTTAATGTTTCGCTCCTCCATAATTATGCCCTCGAAATTTGAATCCTGTTCAGTTAATGAAGATATCTTGTGCGTATTTTTTTTGTCAGGAAAGTAAGTGCCTTGCTGAGGCATTTGATCATTAAGACAGTTGTAAATGTTACCAACTGACTGTTCGGATGAAACCGGCTGCTGTTTATGAGTACTGGGTTGAATAGAGTTGACACTTGAAGGAATTTCAGTAGATGAAACTGTAATTTTGCTACAAACAACTCCAGAGTTTAACAAGCATGAATTTTCAGTTGGTAGATTATATGAACCATAAGAGTGAAGGTAAGATTCGTATTGAGGATCGTTGTCCTGATTTTCGTAAACGTTTGTGTTTAAATAGTGTTGTTGGTTACCAGCTGAATAAGCTGTTGTATGCGTGTTTGAACTTTGGAGACCAGGAGCTAAATCAGTATTGATCAGAAGGTCGGATGATGGTAGCTGCATATACGTGATGTTATTAAAAGAATATGCATTATTCGGATTAAAGAAATCAGAAATTGCATGTTCTGAATTACTTTGATTTATTTCATATGATTTAGGTAGATAACTTATAGAGATGGAAGTAGTTTGGTTTGTTGTTAAACATGAATTCTGAATTTCATCTGTACTCAAAGAAGAATTCAGTTGGCAGTTTTCCCGAGAATGCTGTAAACTGGATGGACTTCGTGGATTTTCGTGGCAAGTTATACATTCTTCACTTGATAAAACTGAATGCGTTGTAGGAATCGCATTTGTTGGAATCTGTTTTCTTTCATTCTTATGCAGCTCCTGAGAAGAGTTAATTTCATTCCCCTGGAAAACAACTTCCGAAGTACGCGAATCATTCATTAGGAACGGTGACGAGATATTTTCTTGTTGATTTGCAGTACTTTTAATATTACTATCTGGGAAATGGACAACAGTTGAATTTGATGCAGAAAAACCAGTTACGTGGCTAGGTATAATAGACTCAGTCTCCAGAGATCTTTCAAAAGTAGTTTGCATGCTGAAATCAGCCTTTTCAGATGGAAAATTCAATTTGGTGAAATCTTTACGATAATTCTCTATCTCCATGTGCAAAATTTTCAGAGAAGAATTTAATTCCTCTTTTTCTTTTTTTAAACTCTCAATTACCGTCCAGTAACTACTCAACTGATCCTGAAGAGTTGCAATCTTATGAATCATATTATCTCGTTGACTAGTGAGTTCCGCAATATGAGCAGATTTCGATTCTATTTCACTCTTTAGTATGCTGAAACTCTCTTCAACTCTGATTAAGTTGTCTTTCAAACCGACTAGGTAGTCGTTGAGTGTTTCCTTTTCACATTGTATGGAAGAGAGAGCTGCTGTAAGTGTTGCCTTTTCTTCTAGGATTTCATCAATCAGAATACCTTTATTCTTATGACCCTCATCGTATTCCTTAAGACTTTCTAAAATGATGTTATATTTAGAGATTTGGTCGTTCAAATAATTTTCTTTAGCTGAATGCTCTCTTTCGAAGTTGTTTAACATATTTTGCAGTTCATTGCACCTACTTTCCGAGACTTCAAGAGCCCTTTGAGTTTTCAACAGCATACCTTTCTGGTGTAAAAGATGTTCTTCGTTAACTTTAAGTTCCATTTGTAAATTTGAAACCTGTATTTGTAACTCTCTGATTTCATCAGCCCGTTGACGACTAATATTCTCAAAAGAAGCTCGTTCAGCAGAAATCCGCTCAAAAATAGCTTCACGCTCTATCATGTCGATACGAATAGATTCCAGCTGACGAGAAAGATTTCGCTTTGCATCGGCTAAAGAAGCTTTACTGCATGCTAACTGAGCCTGTAGACAAGCATTCTCATGAGTCAATCGGTGGTTTATCTCACTACTATCTCTCAGCAAACTCTGAATCTTATCTGGCTCGTTCTGAAAACGATCACGAGCAGATTGTGTCAAAAAGAGTTGATCTGCGTACCAATCACGCGAGCATCTTAGATTTTCGATTTCTTTTTGCAAGTCTTTTTGATGACACAAAGCCTCCAAATGAGTACAACGAAGGGATTCCACTTCCACATACAATTCAGAAACTTTTTCCTTCAGTTTAGCAATAGTATCTGCCTTTATTGTACTATCCTTCGTTAATTCGCGCAAATGGTTGTCGAATTGTTTTTCTTCATGTTTAACATGCATGAGTTCATCTGCAATTTTTTCTGTTTCCTTAGTACGTTTTATAAGTTGCTGCTTAAGATAATTCAATTCTTTTTCATAATGACCCATGGATATTTGTTTAGCATTTGTTGATTCCTTAAAAACACAAACGTGATGCAAAGAAGCTTCAGAGAGAGATCTCATACGTTTCTCTATGGGTTTATAAAGAGTAAAATTTAACACTGGCATAGTTTGCTTTTTGTTAGTTGTATCTATAGACTGAGAACAATCAGATGAGGTGAGAGGATAGTTGTTTACTGCTGGTAATTTCAGCGATACAAGACGTTCCTTTGTAGGAAGGAAATGCAAATCGACGCAATCAAAAGTGCTTGAAATAGGTCGGTAGCTAGTGAATCTCAAAGGTTCGTCATAAGAGTAAAAACTTTGTAGCATTCTTCCACATTTATAATCCACTGAGTTTCTTAGATTACTTGCATTCAGAGGTTTCCATCTTCTATTATGCTCCGGAGTAAGAGAATTGGATATAAAGATATCATTCACTGAATGTGACTGCCTTTCCTTCTTGATAGTTGGATAGACACACAGGCCAGAAATCGGAAAAGAAAGTTTGTTATGATTTTCAGGGTCTAAAATCAAAAGAATCAAATCAAAATTAACAACTACCTGAGCAAAAATCTTCGTTACAGTTTACGACATTATCAAAAGCTGTGAGATCTCTAGTATCCATCTTTTAATTTTTAATTCCACTCAATCCACAAGACGTGGAGGAAATTAATTCAATATGATATTACAAACCAATGGGAAGAATTAAGAGTTAATGCTAATTTAGAACGCCACATACAGGTATATAATTTCACAAGGAACTCCTGTGCACTGAGTCATGAGGTGCACATGTTCTTCTCAGCATTCAAGAATTGGTTGTGTGAAACCTAACAGGTTTGGGGTAAACAAATAACGATATGTTTATTTACCTCATAGATACGTTTCAAAAATCAATAAACGTGGGAACTTAGACCACTGAAAGTCAACAAAGTTAGTTCAAAACAACTTATCCTGGTTCACTTTTTGTACTAACTGATTTACATTAGGTTATTCACCGATTTGGACCACTAAACGTAAATACCTATAGGGATTACAACAAATATCAAACAAGATTGAGAACTTAAAAATATCTTGGAAAACTCTACAGGATAATCCTGAGTGAATGTTAAGTATGAGGATTAAAGACAACTCAAACACATGCTACATGACACTTATTATTGCTGGAAATCCAGACAGCAGTAGGCTATATATCTAACAAAAAGCTCTTACGTGTGCGGAATTTGTGATGACTTTAACAAAGTACATGAGGAATTACCTCAGAAAAGTTAACGGCTTACAAAGAGACTAGGAAAATAGACTAAAAATGAAGTGTTACTAGTTGAAAAATCAATAGGCACTGTAAGTTCTTGAATTTTAATAAAAAATGGAACTCATTATGAACTGTTTAATTATTTGTTAAGTAATACACACAAATTGTCAAACATGCGAAAAATTCCCAATGTAACTAAATATATAAATATTAAACATTTCCCTGATGATCTCCAGAATGTCAAAAAGTTTCCAAAGTATTAAAAAATTATCATTCACAGACCTAAATACTGTGAGAATAGTTCATAGTGTTTGCTTACAACATTGAGACCGTTTGGAAAATTACATCAAAATTTACAGTATGAAATTATAAAACTGAATCAAAATATCCAAGTAAAGGGATGAAAAAGTAGTTTAATTAGATTTCCAAAAGCTGACCAAGTTACTACATGCTAAACGAGAATTACATTCAAATGCACAAACTGACTTAAATTTATAATGCAGAAGCAATGCATATCATAATCAAATATGAACCAATTAAAAAGTGCAGTACTATGCATACTCAGAAATATTGACTATAATTTTATATTTAAACTTTCAGTTCTGAACCTTTGAATGCTAACACCTTGGGATTACCATTTACTGTTACATGTAAACGTAAAACTAACAATATTGAGATTTGATAACCATGATTAAAATCCACTGAGAATATCAAAAATGTGACGGATGTTTTATTACAAGCGTAAGTATAGATTAAGTGTGACAGAATCACTGTGCAGGCAATCAAGAGATCAGGAATACAACGGCAAATAGAAGGATGACCGAAGGCCTAACACTGAACCTATTTGAGAACTGGTACGGAATTAAAAACCAAGCTGGCTAATATATCAAGTGAAGCATAAATAGGTGATACAATAATCTCTGACTGGGATGAGTCTATTGTTTCACTTTCTGAAACCGAGGAAAACTGAAGAAGGCTTTCTCTTCTCTTGCATTCGTGGTAACTGGTGTTCTATGAGACAGCTTTTAGTATGCTCTTAAAAGGTGCTGTCTGAATTATAGTCTTAACATTTTCCAGATATATATCATCGTAACGGCCCTTAATCTGACAATGTGGAGGGTGTATTATTAGTTAGTCTTGCTACCCTAAAATGCATTTGCTCTGCTTCGGGGTGTCTGATGCACCATCGGCGCTTGTTCAGCTGTTTCGGATAAACTACTTACATTATGGATATCAGACTCAAGAGTAAACGGATAACTAAATGACTCTGAAAAACTGATATAAAAACTCCTTTGTTGGATGATGATGATATAAGACGTTAACAATATTAATGAGTTTCAAACATTCACTGACAATTTTGAAGTCAGCTGCTATGAAACAGAAACGCTGTAGGAGCATACAAAGCATAAATTATACACGTGTCAAATGAAGCAAGGTCGTAAGAAAACAGGAAACTGCCAGATACAATTTATGCTGGGAATTAGTCTCCATGGGTTCAAGTCATGCTTAACAAACTTGAAGTCACAATACCACAACTGGGTTCTCATAAAATTTTACAACACTCCACGACGCTAACATTCCCATATTTTCCTTTTCATAACTAAAACTTTTTCTGCATAATTAATCTTATGAAAGTAATACGCTGACTATTCAACTTCAACCGAGCGTTAGTTGGTTTCTATTGCCACCACCTAACTTCCTCTTGTTAAGCCATTGTGTTCAGATGTTTCCTTTAGGAATTTACTAAATCAATCAAAAGTTCTAATTCGAGTGGTTTCCAAGACAAAATACACAATTACAGAGTTTTTGGATATCTCAATGTGAAATTCTCCGAGAAATTTGAGGAGGCGGATATCACATTCCCCCGAAGCCCTGAAATGCTCCAAATTAATTAAGACCTAGTCGGACAAAAAAGGGAACAGATCATTTGAAAGGGCGACAAAAGTTGAAACCTCAATGAACAACGAAGTAGAGATAAAGGAGACTTTGTCGTAGATTCCCCACCTTCCCCTACGTGACGCATTATTTTTGAATTATTGGTACGCTTCGAATGCTTTAAAAGTTCCTCAAAACCTACAAACTACCCCAAAATTACCTACTTAGGTAGAGATTATGTGAGGCTTTGGGCCTGAGGTTATTCAGTATTTTATGGTGTGTATCTTTATGCCTGGCGAATCTAAACACTGGTTCTGTGAAAGGTATGAGGATACATGACCGACAACCAACTAAATTTGTAGGTGGAATAACTAAACTGATTTGCGCGTTCAGTGAAAGAGAGATATAGACAACAATACACGAAGGTGGGAACAAACATAAACTATCAGTAACTAACTATACTGCCGAAAACACACACGTTGACGTAACTGTTAAGTAGCCGCCCAACTTGTTCAACTTCCACTTTGAGATATTTAGTTTTCCGTACTAACAAACAGGAGGGCATTTATTATCCTCTAAATATATATCATTTCAGGGAAATGAATGCTTCGCAAACTTGAAGTGCACCTACGTTATATTCAATAACAGTTTGGGTACCCCTTTCCCGATTCCAGACCACATGTACTCGATTGGTAAGAAAAGTTTTAGAAATTACTCTGACCAAACCACTTTTTAGTGTGATTCAATCCTGAATAAGTTCAGATTACCTAAAATATGGTGTGGAGGACTTATGAGGTCAAAGATATGTTAGCTCCATCACCTTCAACGCAATCTTGTCGAAGTATACAAAAGATTTAAAGGGTTCACAAACTGTACAGAATGACTTGACTACAGCTACATTAAAGTTTTTCGTGACTAAAGTCTATTTCTAAGTCCTTTAGCTCCTTAGAGTAGGACGACTGTATTTCTCCTCCTTCCACTACTTCCTCCCACCCACCCCCCCCCCACACACACGTAAAAGGACTTTGAGGAAGACTGCTGATTTAAAAGAATAAGTTCACTCTTCTATCTGATTCCACACCCCATCGGTTGGACCATTTTTGTCTTGTCTAAATCATCCTCTCGGTGGTGATTTTAAGTGAAATACTTCATCAAACACTCGGTAGTGTTAGTGATTACCGCAAAAACCAACAAACAGTCGTTCAAATCCCGTTTTAAATTTTCCCCCATTCCAGGAAACTAGTGAAACTGGAATCCATATTTTCCCTCTTCTGTACGAACTATGCTACATACGCACGACTTCCAATTACTAAGGGGCAGTGCGTCTTTGGCTTACGGGTTTGTTGTTAGAAACAATCTACCTTCTGCTCTCTTTATAGATGGGTTACCACCTGGTCTTTCCAATCAGTAGTTAGCGATTCCTAAGACAGAAACTATGTGAACTGGTCTGCGAACAGCCAATATATTATGTTGGAAAGGAAGGACAGCAGCCTGAGGAACTCAGAGACTGAAATGGCATAAGTTGGTGGCACAGTTGCTACGACTCTAGCTGAACATGCACAAGGTCCGGCGTCCGACCTCCCGCCGACGCACACCTGATATCCATGGTCGGCCTGCAAAATTTGGGCTACCGATATCACACGCTGAAAATTTCATACCTGTACCGAAAATAAGATGTGGAATCAAGCTGTAATCGAAATAAAATAAACAAAGACACGAAATGTGTCGTTTGCACCATGGACAGTTCCCAAATTCAAAAGTCACATTTCTTTACCATATTGAAATAAGTGGATATTTCTTAATGATTACTGCTGTGGATCTGAATGCTTGGACTTCACATTTAGGTGAAACTGAGGAGATTGAATATTCTGAATATCAAAAGTATGTTGATAAATAATCTAGCAAAACCAGTAGATTGTACCCCTATCAGCAATCACCACTGGACACTAATCATTACTGTTTGTTAGCTGGCCAAATGTGATATTACGCATTTAGTTCCCATGGTGTTTGGAGTATTCTCGCACCACCTTCAGTTGTTCTTGTGCGGCCTCTAGCTAGCTACGCTTGAGATCATCGGTCTATATGTATGTTGCATTATTCTGACGACCCCAACGTTGTTCTGACTTGGTTTGCTGACTTATTCTAGCCCACAACAAATGTGTACATCTGGGTTGCATCACAGAATACGCGCATTGCGGTTATCACAATATGGATCTTCCCATCATTTCAGGATAAAGGCCGTGGTTTATTATTATCATTATTATAAAAAGGCATTCAGTAAAAACACTATTGACGACTTTCATTTACCCAGAGAAACAAGCCATTTTACGAATCAGAACAAGTGTATCGTATCCGTGGTAATAGTTCAAAATCTGAACTACAGGAAAAGTAATTAAAGTGGCTGAAATTGTCTTTCACGTCCAAGGTCATTGATAGAGTCAGACGCTCAGAGGTCATTTTCATTCATGTTAGTCGGCCATGTTGGATTAGCGGTTCCGTAGCCGCCCGTTTACACATTGGTTTTCACGTTTATCCTGCAGTTATTCAAAACTTATCTTGATGCATATTCATCACAAATGTTGCGTCTCACCTCAATTGTTTCCGCTGCTATTAAAATTAGCTATTTCATTGGTTTCAAAAGTTTTTACCACCAGCCCAGCTGGCGTTATTTTCGGGCGCGCCGCAGATTTTTTGAAACAGAAACTTCGGGCTCATCTACGTGCGTGGGACATTGTCCCTAAGCCTGCCCCAAAAAGTCTGCAATGTGCTCAAAGTCTGCCACAAAACTTCTGCGATCCGCCCTGTTACTATTACAGACTAAAGCCTGTGACAACGCGCCTACGATCCCTCATTTAACCATCAGTCGATAACTAACACAGCTAACACAGGTCGCCTCAAAAAACAGCAAACAAGCAGTAGCTCAACGACTCATGTCAGCCACGTCTCGTAAACCGTCAATGCCCAGCTCTCGCTGCACTCGGGCTCACGCTGTTCCTTGAAGTTTCTCAGAAACGCTTAGTAATAACGGACGCAAAAACCAAAACACCAATTGGCGACTCGAGGATTCTTTATTGTAACACCAACATATAAACAATGTTACAACTAAGGTCTGTGAACAGATATTACAATAATAAATCACAATATTACTTCTGACAGTTGTCTTCTAACTTCTTTCTGAACAGCGACCGATGAGACGATGACTGGTGTATCGATGTCTCCGCGAAAATATAGGGAAGTTGGTTTTGAGCAAACAACCATGAATTGATCGTTCAATCTGCAACTACATTGACAACTCACGATATCAAAAAGCAGTGGATTTTAATTGAAAATGTATTTAACAATCTTGGCAAAGGAATTTCCAATCTTTCGACAAGTCATAAAAGTAAAACATCCTATAAATCACCAGAAATATTCATCTGTGTGCTGCTGGCGTTTGGCATGTCCTCTTTGTTATCTGAAGATGAAATTTGGAAAAAATAAAGACCTACCAAGGGGGTACGTCATCGCATTCTCATCCTTGACTTCAGTCTGTCTCGACTGTTATGGAACCAACGTTGAATTGAAGCCGTGATAGCGTTCACTGTGCTACGTCAGCCTGCACTACCTTGTTGATGTATACTGTTAGTAGTTCCTAGAGAAACAACAATTAAAAAACAACCACCTACGTATCACAAGGTTACACATCTGCAGATATTATTGAAAAATACTTGATATAATGAATGTTTCACAATAGAATGCACAAAACGTTTTAGCGAGTGGGGTAAGAGGAATAATAATCAGTTTCGAAAGCAACATTTAAGCGAACATATGGATCCCCAGTCAAGTGTAGCAACCGCTTCAACAACTCACCCCCTAAAATCAGATGTTTTGAAAAGTTGGATCGTTTCAAACAGCGTCTAATAAAAACACATTAACCCGCTTTTTACTTCATTCAGAATGAACTCGTCCAAATAGGTTATCTTGGTAGATTTGTAAGGAGACACATGATCACCGATGTAGCGGTGGATAATTTTCCAAAATAATTAGCCTACGGCATCCATCACTCAACTGTGGGTGCTGACGTTCACTGATGCGGTCGACTTGTTTAACTGGAGGCTCGTGGTCCAACAGTCATGCCTTTTGGTACGCCGTCGCGTCAATTTTGGTTGTTACAGCACAATTCCTGGCTAGCTGAACAGTCATACTCGAACTACGATTTTGGCCCCAGAATATACTCCGTATTTCGGGAGATTAGTCTGGTGTTTTCATTTCTCTTTGGTCCACACGGAACGAATACTATAGGAGTTGTGAATATAAGATCCTGTGTTAGTATACGACGTGCTTTCAGTTAATGTCAGCATCCTGAGCCACTTAACTTCTAAACGCTGTAAAACACTTCATCTTTAGTGAACACTCAGACGAATCCAGTGAGTTCGTTCCATTTTGTTGTTATCCCTGAGTTATGCTTACTATATTAATAATAACATACAATAATATATTCAGAACCTTTTTACAATGCGTAACCATGCACCAATAAGCACCACTACTCAGCTCTGCTGTCCTGACCGGACCATACAGAAGCATGTGTCAATGTAGCTGAAGATTGAACGATCAACTCATGGTTGTTTGCTAAAACCCAACTCCTCCATATTTTTTGCGGGAGTCATCAATTCAGCAGTCATCGTCTCATCGTTCGCTGTTCGGTGGAAGAGAGAAAACTATCAGAAGTATTATTGTGATTTATTGTTATAACATTTAATCCTAGACCTTGTGTATAATAACCTTATTGTTGGTTTCATATTGGTGCGAGAATAAAGGATTCTCGAGTAGCCAATCTGTGTTCTGGTTTTTAGCGTTGGTTATTACAAACTGTTTCTGGAAGTCTTCCAGGGACAGCGTGAAGTCCAGTGTGGTAAGACCTGGACACTGACAACATGTTTTCTGATAGCAGAGCCTGGCTTCACTGAACATGGGAACACTGACCGACGTTCAAATTTTTGCATCTATCCACGTTATGCTGTGGGAATTAAGCAAGTGCGTTACTGTGCATATGCCCTGCCCAAACGGTAGCAACTCTCATGAAAGGCTTCGATCAGCCAGCTTCAGGAGAAATGATCCCCCAGATCAGTAGCGTCTAGATGAAGTCTTTCTCAACGTCAAGTTGGACAAGCATTCGGCCATGCACATGGTGGCGTGGTTGCCAATCAACCCCATTTTGGTGAGGGACTCTTTAAATATTTGTCTCTGACTTAGTTGCCATGGCAAGTATAGACTGCGCTTGTGAAACTTCAGGGTGCTGTCATTGACGATTTAGCTGCATTGGCTGATAGAATTCTGGAAATGTCGCAATGGCCAATTACTTAAGTGAGCTCATTCAGTAAACAGCTTTTGAGGAGTAACGCCAAAATGACAGAGTTGTGCAACTCTCAAGCATCTGTTTAGGTCAGACGATCCCCGTATTTACCCCGATGGTCAACGGAATTCCCCTCAAAGTAAAAACTAGCGTGCTTTATGGAAGTCCAAACAGCGTTCACTCGTATACTCTGACT